TTTAATTAGGTAATGGTTTGTCCATTGTGTTGGGTTTGTTTTCAAATAGCTTTATTGGCTTTACTGTGGGTTTTTTCATTTTATTGTTTCTTGTCTAAGTGAACAGTTTATGCTTTCATTGGTTTTAAGATATCTACTGGCAGCTTCTGAAATGACTCCCAACAATCCTATAGTTCTTATCTCATCCCTTTTCCCTTTGGGTGTGTGTTGAATCCAGTGATTTGTTTCAAAGAAATACAGTAGATACCAAATAAAACAAAAGTATCTGGGATATTACAACAACCTCCAAAGCTAAGTCATAAAAGCCTCCTAACTTTACCTTCTTGGGTCTCCCTCTTTGTCTCTCGTTTGTCTTGTTTGCTTGCTTTAATGAAAGGATGCTGTCCTATGAGGGGACCACGTGGCTAGGAAGAGAGGCAGCTTCTGACCATCAGTTCCCATGAAACTGAAATGTGTCAGTGACGCCATTGATCTGGGGAGCTGGCCCAGCTCCAGCTGAGCCTGGCTGTGGCTCTAGCCATCATCATCATGTAAATTAAACCTTCTGAGAAACCTAGAGCTGGAGACTCCAGCTAAAATGGGCTGGGATTGCTAGCCCACTGAAACTACTGGATAATGAATCAAAATTTCAGTCACTCTTTATGGGCAAATTGTTACACAGCATCAGAAAACCAATACAGAGCCCAAACTCTGAATATATTTATTTTGATCCAGGAAACACTGCCCATTTGAATACAGAAAGGACTAATTATAATCTAAAGGGGGTCTGTTTTGTAGAGAAAAAGAAATTTACAGTTCAAATATAGTATCCAATTGATACCAAAACTTTTCATTTAAAACTGAAGCATATTTTTAAACACCATCTTCTTTTAGTTCCCTCAGTTTAATCTATTAAAGAGATGCCCACTGCTTCCTGAAATAACATACCATTAGTGTCCTGCTTTTAAAAAAAAAAAGCATCTGAAGGACATTTAGAATGTGCCAAATTAGAGAAACATTGCCTGATAAAATCAGGCAGATTACAGGTTGACTCTTAACATGGATGTACATTTTATAACATTTTAAAGCAACAGTTGTTTATTTCCATATCCTGGTAGAGACTACTGGTAATCCATTCTTTACCCTCTCATCCCCCATCCCCTAAAATCTATCCTCATTTTCTTTTTTCTTTTTTTGGTCAGTCGTGGGGCTTAAACTCTGGGCCTGGGCGCTGTCCCTGTGCTCTTCAGCTTAAGGCTAGCACTCTGCCCCTTGAACCAAAGCACCACTTCCAGTTTTTGAGTGGTTTATTGAAGGTAAGAGTCTCACAGACTTTCCTGTCCAGGCTGGCTTTGAATCGCCATCCTCAGATCTCAGCCTCCTGAGTAGCTAGGATTACAGGTGGGAATCACCTGCGCCCAGCTCTATCCTCCTTTTCTTCTTCCATAGTGATATAGTTTGAGCTGAATGCAGAATGTCCAGCTAAAAGACAATAAATCCATACCATCTCTCGAGAACAGAAAGACCATGTTCTTACTGATAACACAACAGTGGAAGCCATGTGTAAACACAGCTACCTATGTTTGCTATGCAATCATTGTCATCTCCTTTTCAGGCATGGATTCCAGGCGTGCCCATAATTCAGCCTCACTTATGCAGAAAAGGACAAGGACTAAGGACTGGGACCCAGGGTATGGTGAGGCAAAAAGATGAATTTAAGTTACTGAGTTGAATCTTGGAGAAGAAATTCTTACCAACCTCAACTTATTGCTCACCTGGGAACCGTCATAAGGAAGAGAAATGAAAATGAACTCCAAGAAGTGGAAGTAAGAGGTGTTTTTTTAATATATATATATACATATAATATTATTTGTAGTTTTCTTCCTTCCTTCCTTCCTTCTTCTTTTGCTTCTTTCCTTTTTACTTTGGTTTATTTCCATCTGTCACTGTTTTTTATTTCTGTACCCTTGTCTTGTATATAAGTTTATCTGATTTGGGGAGCACAGAAATGGTGGGACAAAAAGTGAATTAATTCAGCAGTGAAACCCACTAGACTATGTTGGAAATGAAATATACAACTTTGGGGCGGGGGAGAGAATTTTGGAGGAGAAAAACTGGGAAAGATTGAAGGTGTAGGTGACATTGTTCATTACATGACTCATGTAACTGTAACCCCTCTATATACCACTTTTACAATAGAATTTTTTTAATAAAGAGAAATAAGTATGTTTTTAGAACCATTATATTTGGGGGTCTTTTTGTTATAGTAACTGAACCTTAACATATACATCTGATCACTGGCTGATTTGAAATGTCATTGTAGCCAGGTATGTGGGTGCATGTCTGCAATCTCATCATTGGGAAGTGCAGACAGGAAGATCCCAAACTTAAGGCCTGATTGGGCTACATGGTGAGATTTTGTGCCAAAAATAGAGTAAAATGCCATTGAATAATAATTATGCATGCATGATTGAGCAAAGTACAAAACACTGAGTTTATGCCCTATAAAAGGGAGGGGAAATCTATTTCCTTCAGCCAGTATTAGTGTGAAGTCAGCAAAGAACTAAAGGTAGGCATACTTGTCATACATCTGTGATGCCAGCATTAGGAGGCAGAGATCAAAAGGTTTAAGGTTCAAGGCCAGCCCCAGGCAAAAAGTTAGTGAGATTTCCCCAGTCCGAGCTACTCAGGAGATGTGGGTAAGACAATCTAGTCTGAGGCTGGTCCAGGTAGAAAGTGTGAGAGCCTACTTAAGTTATGTAGGGGGCTGAGAGTGGGAGAACAGAGGTTCCAAGTTAGCCCAGGCATAAAAGCCCAAGAGACCTCATCTCCAATAGGTAAGATGTGCTGTGTGTGCCTGTGATCCCAGCAAACTAAGCAAAGGCTAAAGCAGATCATAGTCCAGGTGCCCAGCCAGGTGGAAAGGAAGATCCTATCCTCAAAATAACCAGCAAAAAACAAAAAAAAAATGGTTTGAGGCCCAGCTCAGAGGTTCTTAACAGTCTAACAAGTGAGAGGCCATGGTTTCAAAAGCCAATACTGCCAAAAAAAAAAAAAAGTTCAGTGGTAAATTCTCAGGGTTTCCCACCACACACTATATTGCTATCACTACCCGACAGGTGCCTCAGCCAGCTTCTCCAAAGATTATTTCACAAGAGCCTTAGAAGAAATAAGTGAGGATTGTTGCCTCATCACAGAATGAAAATAAGGCACACAGTTGGTTTATCACAGGGGACATCATGAGTCACGGAATGCTGTGACAGAGATGTGAAAAAACCCCAAACCATAAACCCTGTGCCTGGAAATCCAAGTCTAGGGTTATCTCTGCTAAGTGTGTCGTGCTTTATTCCATCTCTTTCCTTTATTGGGAGAAAGACAAGGCGAAGGCCTGGATTTGGGAGACAGGCAATGCACGGGCCCCAATGGGAGAACATCATTTCTTTTAACACATAAAACAAGTTGGGAATTGCTATTAAGCCCAGCTTTTAAAACTGAATCACAGGGTTGGGTTTCAGGGCCTATAAATGACGGCTGAGGCACTGGGGGAGGAGGCTGTTGCCTCCTGAGCCAGACATCGCCGAGTGAGACCGGGCTGGGGTGACAGTAGCCCTGTGCCCTCTTCTTACGAAAGGGAAATGTGTCTTCCAAGGGACCTTTACCCTCTCGGCCACCTTGACCTTGGTGGAGCTAGGAAGCAAGGGCAGCGGAGCACAGGGCACAGGGGAAGAACGAACAGGTCGAACAGGTTGTCCTTAGAGCTTCAGCCCCCAACCTCCCGGATCTTATCAAAGGACCACCGAATAAACCCGGCGGTGACCAGGCAGTTGCTGTCATGGTCGTTTGTGCGGCCAAGTAGTAGGCTTTGCACGAAAGCCTGCTGCTCACTCAAGACCTGGGCGCGCACGGGATCGGACTTTGGTCCCAGGTGGATCTTGTTTCGCCGCGGCCACCTGCTCCCCGGGGAGGGGCAGAGGCGGTCCTCAGGATCTGAGACCTGGGAGAGCGCTGGGGAGGGGAGGGGGAAGGAGTAGGCTGGGGTGCCTGATCCTCTCCCCAGTTTCAGCGCGTGTTCTTGTGGGGGGGGATGTCTAAAGTCCCCCCCCCATACACCAATGCTCTGCGCTCTCCCCAGTGTGTTCTCTGAGAGGTGTAGCGAAAGAATCAGGAGACGTGGCCAGTGTCGTCATGTCCCCCAAGCGGGGCGCTGCAGCCCTCGCCCCTGAATGTGACAGCACCCCTTCCCCCGCGGTCGGATTCCGGGCCCACTTTGAATTCCCTGGATTCTTGAGCAAGAGGAAATTCTGCAGCCCGGTGAACTTGGAGAGAACTGGGGATAGCCCCTCATCACCCGCGGGGCGCGCGGGGAACCAGTCTCGCCGGAAGC